GGCATAGATAGGAACATATAAGAATCCATGAAAGTCGTGAAAAAAAGACATCAGATTTCACTCTACATTATTGCAATGAATTCATGTATTACAGTTCCATTAACACAATTCTATAGGAAGTTTAAGTATTTTCAATCTACCACAGTGTACAAAAAAAAATTACAATCCTTTTAAAATTTTAAATCAAGAGGAGTAAAAGTAGAAATTCATCCGTAAAGTTGGTGGTCTTGACAAGAATGTCAAAGTGGTCAATGAAGGTTGGCACAGAGTAGCTCAGTGATCTGCGAGCAGTTGACTGATGATATTAGTCCAATAGTCAAGAACAGGTTTATGATAGATTCAGAAGTGATTCTCTCAGTGTTGAATCAGCAAACCCAAATCAAAGAAACTGTACTCAAGGGTTTGTTCTAGAGACCCTAAACACTCCCAAAACCTCAAACAATCAAAAGGCCAGCCTGCTCTTGCATCTGTTCAATCTTCTACCATCTCTGAACTCTCTTCAATCATCATCTTTACCAAGACTTATCACTTTACCATTCAACTATGCATTGGATACTTGGATAAACAAAAATAGATATTCCTTCCTTCCTACCAAAAGTTTCAACAGAATATAATTCTTCCATTATGTTCTATCCGTGAGACTTACCCTGAATTTTGTCTTGCTTCCCCATATGACGAATGTCTTATTACATTACAGGTATGGTGCCTGTGGCTCCCCCCTCAATCCACCAGGCCAACATGAATGGAAAGACACGAGGCAGCTCCACCTGCAGACAATCGAAAAGAGAGAACCTTTGGATTACACAATAATCTCTTCCAAGGTTTAGGCTGGTCACTCCTAAGATAATCACTCACAGAGTGACCAAAGACGTGAAGTTTTCATGACCAAAAATTGGTGAACACCAAATCAATCACTCTTTTCTTCTAAAACAGCATGTACTAAAAAAAACCAAAAGCTGAAACCAACCCACCATCTTCATCAACCTACTTGCTTCTAAAACCCACTTCATCTATGCTTCTGTTCCTTCAACACATTCACATTAGAAAGCTATCGAGAATGTCTATTTCCCCTAGGTCTTACTTACGGATACTGATACTGAAGAACGATTGCAAAAACGAAAACAGAAGCGAAATCAATCAGATGCAGACAAGAACACCAACCTTTGAGCCGAGCCGAGAATCACGAGCAAGGACAACGGGATCAAGCAACCAACCACGGTCGTCATTTCGGACAGGAGAAAGCGACGCTGAACCGAACTGGACCAGATTAACCTTCACGTCTCCGCCGAGGATTTCCAAATCGGGATTACTTCTCTGAAGACAAGAAGCAGAGGAAACGCTTGATGATAAATTTGAATGTTAACATAATGTTTTACATTAGTAATGGATTAATCAAAATTAATAATGGGTTAAAAAATTGGACTATATATTTGGGGGGTTGAGCCAGGCCCGTGCAGTAGTGCAACGCATGGGCGACTCGTGAAAGCCCAGATAGCAAGCTATCTTANTGGGCCTTCTCCCTAAAAAAATAGAGTTAATATCGTGTGGCCCGATGGACCACATATCAGATATTAAACTGATAAGAACAGATACTACACTTGATCTTAGCCAAAAGGCCGAGAAAGGTATGAGTTNTTGGNAGTGCTTAGCGTCCTATTTATACTAACAAGGTATGACCAACGCTTCTCTTTATTATCGATGTGGGACTTTAGACAAATAGACTTTTTGTACAACAATCAATACGACGTAGCTTCCCTGTTTTTATTGGTTAAAACGACGTAGCTTCTTCTTCTACGGTGAGAGCCTAAACTAAAGTCTCGATTATTTTCAAAAACAAAATCAATTATTAAGGCTGGAACTTTCATCTCAATGAAGAAAGATGGAAAATTTCGAAACTTTTATTCCAAAAAAGAAAGGAAGAATAGAACATGTTTCAGTGAATCAATGGTATTATAAACTTATATAGATCTGCAATGCAATAAGTTTCCTAGTCAAAATCAAATACAGACAAGAGTCACAAGACTAGCATTGTTTGCTGGTGACTGGCTTTTAGTAGATTTGAAGGTTTGATCCTTTCTCTTCGAGTTAGTGATTTGTAAAGTTGAGACCTGAGCTTTTGTCTTCAACGACGCTAAAGGCTTCATAGCCTTCATGTATTGGTTTCATACATAAAGGGGACACAGCTTGTCAAATTTTGCTCACCACCGTCCATTCTTGAGCCAGGTCTCGCGGTGTTTGTTGTTTCTTTCCGAGGTCTGAGCTAAAACCTGTGTCCAGCCAAAAGAGTTTTCACTGGAATCAACACAAAGCGTAAAGATGGGCATAAAGCTGAAGATTTTGTGATTAACTTCATACTTGAACGAGTCTAGGAACAGTCCGAGGGCGAGCCCGGTCTTCCAATAGTTAAACATGGTGATTGTGCTCCGCATCTTGTTGATTAATGGAATGGATGCTCTGTACATTAAAGCTCCGATGCATTCAACTACAATAACAGCCAATGCAGCTGATAGAACATCCCAGTCTCCTGTTTGTCCTATAAATGTAGAGAACGCTGTTGCAGAGTAGAAACCAACCAAAAGAAAGAATAGTTTCATGGGAAGATCTTTCTTTATCTCCTGAATTTTCACCAGAAGCTTTGTTCTGAGATCTTGTATGGCTTTGATTAATCTTGGACGTCTGGCGCTTTTATTACTTGAAGAACCGGATGGTGGATCGACTCTGCCCCCACCAACCGAGCTCCTGATCATTGTCCACGACATTCTCCTGGAAAATGCAAAATACACACTTAAAAATTGGATATTGGAAAGAGGAGTTCATCAATAGATCTTCTTTAAGACAAAGTATAATCTCACAAGAATCAACAAGCCTAAGAGTGCGTGGTGAAAAAGGTAATTAGATACAAGTTATTGACTTGGAGGCCTAAGCGCTTCACTACTCCATACTAAATACAATAAAGCACAAAAACATGATTTAGATATATGGTTGCTTTTTATGTAACCATAGATTATAGTGGTCTGGTTATGGTCTTCTTCATAGAACATTTACAGAGAATTGCACAAGAGATTCAAGTTTTACCAAAATCCTCCTTCTCTTTGTGTTTCAAGCAGATCATTATATAAACAGCCACAGTTACTATAATTTGATCATATCAGAAATTCTATAACTTGAAAGCCACAAAGCACTGATGCTTCCAAAGTTAAAAACTCGCCTTTGATGTCTGACCAACAAAGGCTGTGCAGGATGAAGGAAATGACAGAGAGAACACAACTCCAAGCAAATGGCAAGAGACAAAACACCTTTGTCTCTGAAACTCCTCTTTGGTAAATAGAAGTTACTTCCACAGGTAGGTAATGACACCGTGGTGGCTAATCCCATGAAACAGCTAGAAGAAATGTTGGTCTTCTGACACAGATGCAGCTACTTCCTAGACCACAAAGTTTCAGCATATCAATTTCTCACAATCCAATCAACACATGAAATAGCAACTTCTCTTGACAGAACCAATGTCTCTGGTTTCAACTATATAAAGAGCTAGCTTTACAAGTAACTGGAGTTCCATTAATAAACTCGCAGAAAGAAGGTAAAATCATAAACGGAGAAGATACCAGAAACTGGATTCAAGAACCACACACAAGCTCAAGATATTGAAAGGTGCAATCAAGTACTTGTACAATTCAGCTAGGCATTACCACAAATACCTTGTAGACAACTCAAGAAAACACAAACTTTACCCAAATTCCTAAGTTCCTCCAAGCCCATTACTCTAAAATCGATCCCAAAATCAATCCTTTCGACTGTCTACTGTAAAAGAGTTGAGTTAGAAGTATTCAGAAGAAGTTAAGTATTCCACCATTTTCGAAGTAGACCCAGGAGAAGAAATCAAACACCAAGACACAAAAAGAAAGGAAACGAGGCTAAATGTTCACCGGACTGGGATCGAACCGTAGACAGGAATCTCTTGGAATCAGTATCCATCTCTTGCTAAATAAACTGCGAATTACAGTTTCATCAATTCACAAAGCAACCCGATTTCTCAAGTTTGATCATTTAACAGTAAAATCCACAACGGATCGATTCTAATAGATGGAGACGACGACGATTCCTGTGTAAATAAAGCAGTGTGTCTGTGATAGACCGGTTTATACCAAATATCGATAACCGGAAAATACCGAAAATACCGGTTTATATCATACGAGAAAAAGATAGACACTTTAATTTCAGTAGCCAGCCCTAAACAGAGAAAACAAGTCTTCTTCTTCCCGAACACAGAGCACAAATCGCCGAATTCACTAGCTTCTTCTTCTTCTTAAGGTAAATTTCACGTTTTTTCTTTCAGAAAATAAGATAAAGGAGGGATTTTTATTGAGTTTTATCTTGTTACTTATGATTTCTCTACAGTTTCCTTCTTCTTCTTCGAGTCTCTTAAAATTTGTTGATTCGTTGTCTAGGGTTTAAGGTCTCTTTCATCTCACATTATTAATGCAATGTTGGTTTTTGACAAGTAATTCGATTTAGCTGGAAAGTGTTGAGAACAACTTGTAGATCAGAAAATAATCAGATTTTTGTTTTTTTTCTTTCACTTGTTTAATTGAAAGTTTGCTTCTGCCAATAATGGTTTTGCCTGCAGCTCTTGAAGATGGTGAACAGTGAGGAATCTCACGAGCTTGCGAATGTAATATCCGAGGAGGAGTCGAACGAAAAGATGAAGATTCAAAAGGCTGATAGAAAGAAGAAGAAGTTGAAAGAGAGATTGCTAAAGGAAGCTACTAAAGCTGTTAATCGAGGGGTTTGCTACTTAAGTCGTATCCCACCGCACATGGATCACGTTAGACTTCGCCAGATTCTCTCTCAATTCGGAGAAATCGGAAGGATTTATCTTGCACCTGAAGGTGAGGTTTATCATTTTGAGTCCTTTTGTTTGATGTGGAAATCTATCTTATGTGCTTCTGTACATGAAAGTAGCTAATGCATTCAACGATTTCTATTCAGATCCTGAAGCACAAGTGCATCGCAAGCGAGCTGGTGGATTTCGTGGGCAACTGTTTTCTGAAGGGTACGTTTGATATCCATATAGAACTTCAAAATACTTGTCCACAGTTACCATCTGGTTCTTCGTAAGATTGTTTACAAGATCTTGCTTTTGCTCATTAACTGTAGGTGGGTTGAGTTTGCTAAGAAAAGCGTAGCTAAAAGGGTCGCGGAAATGCTAAATGGAGAACAAATTGGTATTCCTAATGGTTCATATCAGTATTCATAGGCACTAGGTTTGACCGTAAGCTTAAATGCTAAGTAATGTTTGCTGTGTTCTTTTTTCTCAGGAGGGAAAAAGAAGTCAACGGTATACTATGATCTTTGGAACATCAAATACTTGACCAAATTCAAATGGGATGATCTTACTGAAGAAATCGGTATTGTTAACTGCACAATTTCTCTGCTTATCGCCCTCGACCACTTATTCTAAATTATGATATGATCTCTAATCTACAAAGGGTTTGCTTTGTGCAGCATACAAAAGTGCTATACGGGAGCAGAAATTAAATATGGTTCTTTCTGTTGCAAAGAGAGAGAAGGACTTTTATCTATCTAAAGTAGAGAAGTCCCGTGCCATGACCGAGATAGATGAACGAATGAAGAAGGTGCTCACTCTTTCTCATATTGTAAAATCAAAAATACTCTTTTTCCCATCTCGTCGATGTCTGCTTGTCTGAAAGTTATAGGTTGTGGACTCTTTTTAAACTCTAAATCCATGAAGCTAGTGATCTCAGAGCTTTTAGAGTTGACTTATATGCCCTCTCGTTGGAGGAATTGTATTGTTTCTTTCTCCTTCTGGAAGTCTAACTTGATGTTTGGTTTGTATTGGTTCTGTTTTTGCGTTGGGCAGAAGCGAAAGATTCAGGAAGAATCGGGTAGCACTGCTGAAGCAGCACCTATCTATCCGCCTAGGGTGATTCGTCAGTTTAGACAAAAGAAGTCAATTAAAAATGAGACATCGCAGAGCAAACCTGGGCTCTCTACGGATGTCCTAGCATCGGTCAGTACTTTTTCATCTTATATTCTGAAGAACAATGATGTCTTTTTTAGTAGAGAATTAAGTGAGATGAATAATTTTAAATCATTCGCACAACAACCTATATAATAGTAGCTTAGCTTGGGGAGACAGCCAGAATCGGTACATATTGTAATCGGATAGATCAACCTGAATCAAGCAAACATCAAATGATTGAAACCTCTTCAACCAATGGATCACATGCTTGTCCAACCTGTGTTTATAGCTTTTATATCTATATGTAGTACCTCATTGGCGGTTCCGGCTTTAGCAATATTCATCTGCATGCATCTGTTATGAAAATTTGGATTTATGGTTTTGTTGTTCTTTTTCTGATTCAGGTATTCGGCGGTTCTTAAGAAGAGACATGTGAAGATAATGTAGTTTGATCAAAGCTTGATGGGGAAATTAATGACCAAAATTTATGACATATGAATGGCATTTACCATTAGTTTCTGCATTTCAACAGAGAAAACCTTCACATACACTTCTAGCATTTTGTACTTGTAAGAGAATTAAGCAAATTTTGATACTTATGTTCTTTCTCTTAACAATCTTATTCTACATACCTTTTAACAGTACTGTCACATTGT